GGACGAGATTTCACATTTCCTCTTCACTTAGATTTCATAATCATCAATTAATTTGAATCTCATAACTAAATCACATATTTAAAAATAATCACGGTATTACAATTTATCAATATAATTTCGAGTGACACGTGCTAGTTCATGACCAACTTTCTAGATTTCCTATTTAGATTTTGTCAACATGCCAAATCTTCTCCTTTTATCATTTTTCATATGTGATTTAGGGTGACACATGTCAGCTCATGAGCAACTCTCTGTATTATCGATTAGATTGTTGTTGGCGTTGTACCTTTTATCTTTAGCGTTACAAGTCAATTTTCATATTGTTGATGAAACAACAATCGGAACTAAGTAAAATAAATACAACAAATTATACAAATATCAACATGTTAATACGAGATCGTTTTAAGATCATTAAAAATCAATAAAGTCCTGCTCTGAGCAATTAGACCAGCACCACAAAAATATATAGAACACCACTTCAACCCAAGCACAGCCCCATGAGCTAAAGAACAAGTGGCCGGTTTTCTCGATGAGTCCCGATATAAGGATGTACCTCGAGCGCTAAGCCAGAGTGTTGTCCTAAAAAGAGATTTTGGGATTTTGGGGTTGTGTTGGTGTTGGATTGTCGGCCTTAAATTGAGTTTTATTGATATTGGGCCTAAAATGTTGGTATAAGATAGGTTTAAATTAATTGAATATTAAAATAATAACAAATAAGTAATACATGGTTCATACAGTTTTTACAATGTATGAACCGGGACTGAAACCGATTTGAATGGTTTGGTTCTTGAAACTAAGTTGAATTTTTTTTTTTGTCAATGCAGTTTTTTACGCTTTATTTGTTGCGATTCGATTCAATTCGCGGTTCCATGGCTTTTACACCCACCCCATTGGTGGGTGACTCCATGGCGAGAGGAGAGATGAAAGTATAGGTCTTCCCAGTGAGCGATTTGGTGCAAATAGGGAGTGGACAAGCTAGGTTAAGAGGGACTGAGAGGAGGGGATCAGAGAGGGGGGAGGATGGAGGAAGGGACTAGATTGTTCAATGATAAGGAACAAAGAAGAAAAAGAAAAGGGACGGAAGAAAAGAGGAAAAACCCACCACTGGGTGGAGGAACTATCACCAAAAGGATGGAGGAGGTGCCACCCCGCAGGGCAGCAGAAAAAGCCAGCAAACGATCAGAAGAGAGGCCTTTTCCTTTCGTAGCAGTCAGTGGAATTTGATTAACTTATGTATTCCATATAGTTTGAGATTAATAAGAGATCAAAGTGGCACGCAGCACGAAATGAAATGAGAAGAGGTTTGGCCACCCTCAATATGAGGGAGCAGTTTCCTTATATTTATAATTCTTTCGTTTCCTCCGATGTGTGATTGACTATTTGATAAGTTTTATACAGTTTACCTCCGGACTGTGGAGTGTGGACTAACGGAAAGATTTGTAAACCCATATTACGGATCGAATACAACCAAACCATAGAAAATTATATATATACAGCAGAGGATGATAGAATTCATATACTGCAGCATTTATTAGTGCATGCATATTAGGGTTTATAACTCTAATGGAGATCACTTACTTGTAGTAGAAGACATCGAAGCCATGATTTTGTCTCCTCTTCTCTTGGATTCGAAAAGGATCTCAGACTAGTATATCACAGTAAGAACCAACAACCCCGAGAAGAGAGACCAATCATATACATATATATGTATGTATGTATGTATGTATGTATGTATGTATGTATATGTATATATGTATATATTTCATAATTACATCTTCCTTTCAAAGATGCGGTTGCCACCAGTTTGCTTGGGTTTCAACTGCTGTAGTTTCAAATTGATAACCACCTTAAGTTTCCCTCTAATATGGTATTAATCCGGTGTATTCCATATTATTGAGTCCATATAAAATACAACCTTTTTACTTAATATATTTACATCTACATTATGGTTTAATGACACTCAAACATAAGTCATTCTTACCGTCGATTGTTGTCTTGATCAGTATGTCACACCTTCAATTTCATATGTTCCAGTAGGTTTTTACCGTCGAGTTTGCTGGTTACGACGAGTTTAATATACTCCTCGCTGCTTACAGTCTTGTAGTTTGCTGCATTATCCTTGACAAGATCTGGCAAGGGACCAATTGCGGTCCTCAGATTTGGGCTGTGAAATGCTGCAATTGAAAGCCGTTCCCTTCTGTGTTCACCACAGCTCTGTGCTCTATGCTCTTATACTCTCCATTACTCATTATCTGCAATAACAAAGTAATATTATCTGCTAAGTGAAATCTACTCGTTAGATCAGTAGTTATATATTCAGTTACACATAACTCATCATATAATGCAGTAAAGAAATGTGTTTCATGTGTCGTATAATCGTATTCCACTCAATATTCATCGTATACCTCAATGATGTCGCCAATGTTGACGATGAATGCACTGGGTACCGGTTTAACGGGTACCCATCTGCCATTTTTCTTGATTTGTAAACCTTGAACTTCGTTAACTTGAACTAATAGAGTCAAACCCACAGCATCTGAATGTGGAGTGAGACCCATAACCCTGCTAGCTTGCTGACAGGGTGGATAATAATTCATCCTTAGACCTTGCGTTCCATCCTCGACATGCTTTCCATCTCCTCTGAATTGAGCCCCAGGTTCTTACATATCAACTTCCATATATAGAGTGTGACTTGTTGAAGTTCCTCTGAGTACTTATCCAGTGTCTCCCTAATGTTAGCAATGTGACCAGGAAGAAGTATGGCTTGTTTACTAATCACTAATCAAAATGAGAGGAATTGAATTGATGCGGAATTGGATTGGAGAGGAATCAAAATCAAATTCCTATGAAAGGTGTTTACTAAATTGTCAGGAAATGGAATAGGAATGATGTTGGTTTTATATAAGTTGTTTACCAATTCATTTTTGAATTGGAATCAAAATCATTTGATTACTAAACTCCCCTTGGTCTAAATGAATTATTTTATGTGATAATTAGTATAATTTAATTTCATACCATCTTAACCCATAAATGATTGAATTTCTATCACTTTATAAACTCATTTTTTTACTTTTTTTTTTAACCTTTTCAAACCTAATTTTTTTACCCACCCCCCCACCCCCCCCCTCTCCCCTACAAAAAAAAAAACTTCCCAAGCCAGCAGCCAAGTTTTCTACCTTTTGAAACCTAATTTTTCACCTCTTTTCTCTTCTCCTCGTATCATTTATCAGTCCTCACCAACCGCTACCGCCACCACTCTCTCCCTCCCTCTCCTTCATTTTATTTTCTGTGGATCTTTCATCATCATTTTTTGCGCATCCATTGATCTCACTCGCGCGTCGCACCTCCATCCCCACACGACTACAATGTGACAACCAAAGAACAACCAGCTCACTACGATATCTGAAGATGCCCTAGGATTCTTGAGATTGGTTCACTGTGGCACGGGGAGGTGAAGGGGGTGTAGGCAGAGAGGTGTGGGCTTGTTGATTTGAGTGGCAGATTTGGAGTTTTTAGGAATTACATGGGGTTATAATGGGTAGAAATTGTATTCCAGATTCCTCCCTTGTCCCAGAATTCAAATGACACCTCCTACTCAGGAGTTCAATTCCTCCAAAATCAGGAATTCAATTCCTACCTTTCAAGTGGACCCCACCCATTTTGATTCCTCCAAATTTTAGTAAACACAAGAATAATCCGTAATCGGAATCATACTCCGACTTTTGATTCCGATTACAGACACGTAAACACGCCCTTAGTTCAATGGATAAAAAAGGAAAAGTAAAAGAGTTGAATGTTCTTTCGTTTCAGGTTTTGAAGTTGATTCTTAACGAAATATAGATGCAAGTGGCTCGTAGCTCAAGTGGTTAATTAAGAGCATTTACCACTACACTAAAGGTTTTGTTATTGAATGCTTGATTAGGTCAAAAATGCTCGTAGATTTACACGATTTACCTGAAAGAAGTGGGGAGGGTAGGCCAGAATGTGAGATTTCTGAGGGAGAGTGGTTGTGAGAGAAGGAAGAGCATGTCTCCCCAGTCAAGTTTTGGTCTTCAGAAACTACAAAGGCTTGGCCATAACCTTCAATATGATTTGGCAGCTGTGCATAAGCCTTCTTTACTTCTAGTGGCAGCTGGAAGAACTCCTCGGTGTCACTCTTCATTTTCTTAATCACTTCTTCTGGTACATCATGATTGATCAACTGCATCAACGATGCAATTTTATATCAATGTATTGAATTGCGATTGTAAAACCTTATGAGTAATACAAGACAACTCAAGTTTTGATTTTAATGGAGTATTGAACATATGATCTTAGATGCAAGAGTGAATGCTTTTCAACTACTTGCATCATGATGAATTTAAAGATGAGAATTGTAGAATATGTATACCTGAAAGAAACCCCATTCCTTACAAGCCAAATGAAGTTTGGCTAATTCATCATCGTCATCATCATTAAGCTTGTTCGTATCGACAACTGGAATTTGAAGCGAGTCCTCAACGGAAGCTGGCTCATGTTGGATTTCAGGCCGGATGTATCGGGGTGGTATTTCTTTTAAGGTACTGGAAGCAAGAGCTTGAACATTCTCAACTGGTAGAGAACCGCCCAAGTCTTTTCTGCGGAATACTACCTGATCAGTTTCCATTCTCACACCACTAATCTGAAACTCTCAAATTCTGTTGTGTATATAAATTATGTACTTTGTGGACGGCATTTATAATTTATTTGATTTTTTATTTAATTTGTGAAAGCTTGTCTACATATGGCCTGCAATTCGTGGATTGCTAGTTTATTTTCATGAAAGAAACAAAGATGCTCCAAACGAAAACAACATAGAAAAAGAATCTATATTCGGCCAAAAACGACAATTTCTCCGGCCTCAGTCTCTTTCGCAAACACATACAACCCCAACATTTTTGTTAATTCGACCACACTTATGGCAGCGTGGCAATATATTTCTTATTAGATGACCCTACAAGTCGGACCACACGATTGACATTATTATAATTCGAGTATTATTTAAATGTTGTAAGGGGCTAAGAAGTCATAAACACAGTCATAGATCAGCATGAAATAGTAGAAATACAACATAAACTAATATTAAACACTCAGTCTCTGAGCTCCCTCAACCTCCATGCATTTCTTATTAATTAGGTGTTGACAAACCTACAATTCTTTCTGATCTCTCCATGGCTTCCGGTGAGTACATTGATATTTCCCATCTTGATCATCGACTCTGCAAATGAAGCGAAGAACAGTTTCTCATTGGATGCGTAAGCCCACACCAGCTTCACTATCTCCCCTTTATCATCTTGTGTGACCAACACATTATCAGACCCCAGCAAACCCTTTCCTTGGAGTAAGTTGATGTAATAATGGTTGTCAAATCTGGTTGGTGTTTGATGATCCAGCGGTGCTAGTTCGTGGTCCCTCCCCGATTCAGGGCATATGGACCTTAAGATTCTTCGAAAGGTTGTATATCGCTTGTATTTATCGTGCAATTCATATTCTCCTCTCAGCTGCACATCATACACCCTCTGCCGGAAACTCAAACATTGTGCCTCTCCCATTGTGTGGCTACCTGATAAGGCAACCAAGTCTCCTATATCAAGGCCATGTTGTTTGAAATTGGCAATGAGAGTTTCTAGAGAGGAATTCGGAGGAGGGATGAACTGGTTGGCACCGTTGAAGCTTGCTTCCAGTGAGTCTCTCCTGCCTAGCCACACATTCCACCGTGGTCCGCCTCTCTTTTCATGAGAAGAAAAAGGAAAATGTGTAACGAAAGAAATACAGTTTGAGAAACAGTGTAATGCTACATGTACCACATTTACTGACTATATTTTTGATCGATCACACTAAAATTTACTGCAAGTTGTTACATATTACAACATTTGTTCAAGAGAGGAACGTACCAGTGCAACAGCATCACGGGCAGCCAAGGCTAGAATGTCAGCACATGAAACTGTTCCTGGACAAGCCTCTTCCAGGAGATACTTTATCTCATCAACAACCTTAAATCCTCGTAAAGACTTGCGGTTGGGGCCGGCTTGTTTCTCACTTGTTATGCCTCCATAGCTATCCAAAAGAACAGATGCATCGCACCCCTAAAGAATCGAAAACATAAACGAAAAATGGAAAGAAGGCAAAAATTACGTAAACATTTGTTTTTCCTTATGCATGTAATTTGCTATGTCTCTCATCACATATATTTAACTCCGCAAAAGAGATGGAAAGAGGGAGGAAGAGAGAGAGGTGTCCATGACGAAACAATCATGAAAGTGCAGTCGAAGGAGCGAAGCAGCCATTCGAGGATCTTTAGCCACTGCAACCGCAACACTACGGCTCACAATCTCTTCCGCCAAAGGGCACTGTTCTCTATAGTAGTCAAGAACAAGAGGTCCATCTTCGTCACTCAGCGGTTCAGTGCCCTGCAAAACTACTGCTGCCAGTACTAAACTCAAGAAAATCCTCCACATCATTGAAAAAAACAGGATTAATATCAAGTAACATCATCTATATGCATATATGTATATACTAGCTTAATCGGTAGCTAGGTCTTTCAGTGACGTTTTACTCTACTTTGCTTCAAAATGTTTCTTATCCATATTTTCAAACCAACTTTAACATAAAGACATTCCCTTTTTAGGTTTTGTTAAAAGTTGATGCAACTACTCTACCTAATTATATCTCCATAAGGTTTTACAAATTTCATAAGGCAAGTTGTTTCAAGGGTGTTCCAAAGGTCACCAAGGTCTAGGTTGCACGGACACGAACAAGGATATTGTCTCACGCAATACGGTGATACGTTAAATTTCAAAAAATAAGGACACGGACACAACTAGGACACTGTGAATAAAATATAATAAATATTACATATACTCAAAACAATATTTTGAATCATAATATAACAAAGTAAATAGAGAGAAATAAGACTGAAGAGAGGACTAAAAAGATGACTGAACAGAGGACTAGAGTAGAGGCGCCCAAGAGAGGAAGACTAAAAGAGGATTGAAGTCTAGAGCAGAGGTCGGGGTAGTCTTTAGGTTTTAGAAGTTTTGATATTTATAAAAATGCCCCAAAATATATTGTTAATTTTACAAAGATGCCCCTGTTGTGTCTTGACCGTGTCCAAACCATTTTGGGGGTGTGTTCGAGGCATGTCAGGGTGTTTGACACTCTGACACTTCGGGGTTTTGGAGTGTCCGTGCAACCTAGACCACGATTGCTTTGTATTTTAACTTTCTCACATGACATTGTGTGATTAGTTTAGAACACCGTCACTTTTACGTTTTCACTTTGGACTATGCCTAGATCCACCAATTAAGTTTAAGCCCACTAATAGCAAATAGTACGCGTGGAACACTAGCTCTAGTTCTGCCACCAGAAAGTAGCCCTTTTGTGCCTGATTGAAGAGAAGCATGATTCTTTACCGACTTGTAGCTCAAGTGGTAGCGAGTATTTACCCCTACACCCGACGGTCAAGTTCGAATTTCCAGCTTCTCCGTTGACCTCTTACATTTGGGTGATTTGAAAAGCCAAGATACACATCCAAAGCGAAAAAGCATAGTGGAACTTCCATGTTCTATTAATCACAACCCAAATGTTCGAACTATACATAAACGATCGAAAAAGAGAGAACAAACAAACATCCGCAGACAATCTGTAGACCAATATACAAAAAATCGAACAAAAAAACACCACTGTTTAAGTTCAATATCTAAGAAAGAAATACGCTTTTTTTTTTCCGTTGATGTTTGATGTATATATCTGTAACTTGGTGTTATCCTAGCTATTGTTTTACTTTTGCACACTGGTATGACAGTAACGGTGTTTGCGAGCAGCATCTTGAATCCAGTGTGTCCAAAAAGGTGTCAACTTTTCAACCTCGTCAGCATGATCCCCAATTTCCTCTCGAAAGATATGTCTGTGTTAAAATGGGCGTGCAACACCAATGACATTATGTTTCTTGTACTGCCAAAAAGCAAGAAATGAAAAATGTTCGGTCAGCAACCATTCGGTTAAAACTTCTTTACCAGTTTACACAACAAAAGATTTTAAGTATTTCCTTGGTTCATATTGACCGAGTTTCCAATACTCTTCAGAAAAGAAGAAAATAAGAGATTCTCGAGCAAGTTACCTGGTTTCTTCTAATTAAGATTCTAAATCATCATATTCGTCCAGGAATATCTCAGGATGTACTGCTACGCTAGTACAATTGAGAGCTCGTTGCAGCTTCCAGTGATCTAGGACTTCAACTTCAACCATGAAGGTTGAGCTAACCGGTCGATGATCTGAAAGCTTTAGTTCTGCCCGCTTATAAGAAAGTTGTTTGATGCCTTTTCCCAGCCATAGTATGCGATCACACCTTTCGAATTATACCAAGTACATAATAGGAAACACTCATCAATTGTTTGATTCAGAATAATAGTAGGGTCTTTACAACGCCCCCCTCCCCAACGAAAAGAAACAAGAAGGAACAATTTCGGAAGCTAAATATATGATCAGAATTACAAACTGTATGAAATATCCTTAAGAACTATGTGTGCTAGAATTTTGACAGAAGTTGTACTTACCATGCTGGTGTTCTTTTCTTCTCTCCTTCTTTTGGATTCTCTCCAAAATATCTGTCAGAGTTGTTTTCATACTTGTAGGTTGGGGGAAATTGTATCACTCCCTCTTTCCATCCTTCGAATACATGCCCACTACGAAGTTCTGTGATTAGCTGCACATTTAGTGGTTGCATCAAGGGCCAGTTTATTATACAAGAAACTGGGGCTGTTTCTTGAACGTTCAAAAAATAGAGAAGACAGAAGGGTGTGGAGCTTATTCATGAAAAAAACTCTTGAGCAACTTCAGAAAATACTAGAAAAGAGAATGTATAATGTTCATACGTAGTAGAGTCTTTATCAACCCTAGAAAGTTAAGTTCATATGTGGACAACTTAACTGTTAATGTCCCATGAACATCAGTTTGCAGTATGTCACAGATACGAAAGAGGAAATCCACATTTCGACTAAAATGTTGGGAAACTATCTCGTATTTGGCTCAGAAGACATCAATCCCAAACATTTACAGAAACTGTTGAGTTTTGGACACAACTCCTGTATCTTTGCCAGGGTAAAATGAATTCAGACGTTTCACATACTGGGGAAAAATGAACTATGTTGGAATACTGAACATGATAGTGTAAAGAGAATGATGAGCACACCTGATCATTGTTGATAAGTTCATCCCATCGTTTGAGAGCAATGAGCCTCCTCGCCTCTGTGTCCGACATATTGAGCCGATAGTTCAAATCCCCAAACCAGAAAATCTGACTGCCAACAAAAGCACCCCGATCACATCAAATCACGGTTCAAGCACTTTGTGACGCAAGATAAGTGTATAAAGAGATTACACCAAATTCACTATCAAGAGATGGCATAAAAAACGTGTGTGTGCTTCTTTTAGATTGACAAACAGAAATGTCATGAGGTGGCATATTCAGTGGTTAATCTGTGTGCTTACTCATGAGATGGAATTGTCAGTGGTTGATCCGTATCAAAGACAGATGAGAAACAGGTACGCCGTACAATTTCATACACATCTGAGTTCCGCCTTTGCTCAGCCCCCTCCTTCTGACCAGAGGTCAGATGAGAACAAACAAAGCACATTCGCGATTGGTAAAGTGACATGCTAACAGAAACTGATCCCTGCTTCAGCAACCATGAATTAAGAAGATGGTCAGTTGCATTAAGGCAAGAACATTCAACATTGATGCAACATGATGCAATCTGCTCCAGATTTTTAGTGATCGAAAAATAAACATAAGCAGAATGGAACTACCTTGTTTCCCATGTAGCCCATTAGACCAACCCCAACTGGAGATACTTTCATATTGTTGATGTGTCTCCTCAACTTCTTACGTACCCATACAGACACATATATCCCTACCATTTGCTTGCTCACAATTCGCACATACGTAGAAGGTAATTTCGCGCCCTCATCATCGTCAATAAGTCCATTTTTCTCTAGTTCATATGGTAATTCATGAAAAGTATCATCATCTTCCTCTTCCGCAAAACTGTCAGACACATCAGACAGAGTGTCAAAAAATGGACGCATCTCTTGCTGCTCCACTGAAATTGACCCCAGCAGGTTCCCAGAGCTACCGTGCCATCGTTTCAATCCACCATCTTTTGGTGCAAAACCTTGAGGACTGAATATTAAAGGATTATCCACCAAACCTCCAATTCTTGCGGAACTGCTCAGCACCCGCCGCAATTTGGAGTTGGTTAAGACAACTTGAGGGGTTGCATCTAACGAAAGCTCAGGCCACTCTAGTCTACTGTCACAATCAAGGCCATAAGTTCTCTTCCAGTGTAAACTCTTTCCAATACTGAGTGCTCTGGTCAATTCGCCTTGTTTCAAGTTGCTACCATCAGTAGCTCCAACATATTCCTTGCCCAGCAAGCCTAACGGATGAGCGTTGATCACATCCACAAGCACATCAGCGACAGAAGAAGTTTTTGCAACCGGAGAATGTGGAGCACTGTAGCTTATGTGTTTACTTTCAGATTCCAAGGATCTGTTCAGAGTTCTTCGGATGATTGTCTCCCATTTTGGTATTGGTTTATTATCCTCTGCTCCCAGTACATTCCCAGCATTCAAAGGGACAACCTCTTGAAAACTGAACGATGATTAGTACCAATCAAATTGACATTTAAATTTTCTCTGCAGCAAAAACTTTTTGTTATAACTGCAGCATTAACCTTCAGCTAGGCTGCAATTTTGATATCAAATATATGCAAACTGTTTTCATGCTTAGACAATAATTGGCAATAGAATACACGATGCACATACTATCGGAGAAAATGAACATGCAGATAGAACAGAACAGGTGAGAGCCTGCCACAAGCATGTACCAGGCAAACCACTTATCAAAAAGAAGAAACCACCGGAAACCTATGCCAAACATTAGAACTGCGACAAAAACGAAGAAAACTGACTAGAGATTTAATGCTGAAAACGCTTAAGGATGTACGGGATCAGTAGTTTCACCAATTCTGCTCTACTGCCATTTCATTTATCACAAATACCAGGAATTTGAAATGCTAATAAAAAGCTGAATTCTTCAATCCATCGGTAGCTGCTGATTAGCAGAATGCATATATTTTAGGTGTGGCATGTTGTTTTGAAGCATGCAATTTACGTTAAAGTGCTACTTCCAAGAACTTTAGACAGCGTGTCACCAAATAGATGCAGAAAAATGCAGTTGTTGGGGATGGGGTAAAGAGAGGAAAGATCCCTGATGCAGCAATACATAGAAAGTATGTGCCTATGAGGATATATGTCAAGGACGAACGAATGACTTAGGGCCAACAAATTGAGAAAGTACTCACCCAAGAATGTAAACATCTGCAGATTCTTCGTTACATAACCAATCATCAATATCAAGATCTTCATCCGGAAGTCTTCCACCAACATTCCAAGTGCCTATTGTCACCCTACACAAAACAATGTCCCCGGAGGTACATTCGAGTAAGAAACATACTGGTATCACTTCTAGGCCGATGTTCCCAGCGTATAAGAATAACAGCCGAACCTCACATCCTTTGTGTTTATGTACTGAGCACGCACGGTTTCTGATTTTCCTCTCCGGTGTTTTAACTGATAACCCATAGACGGTAGATCTGAGCCAATCAAACAGTGGTTAAATTCTTGTTGAGATTATGAAAGTATGAAGCACAAGGCACAGATTGTAGTAATTATATACTCATAACATGAACAATTTACTGATAGAGCGATAAGCATTACCTGAAATCGGACTTTGGCCAAGGGAATGCTTCTCCCGAAGGCCATGATCGTTGCGTGTGTGCGTTCTTGCATCTCTATGAGAGTAAGCTGGAAGAAAAGAATAGCGGCAAAAACATGATTAAGCAACCACAGGATACTTGAGAAACATATATAATGTTGGAAGTAGGAAGCCGAAGCCAGAAACCATACCGTCATCTTCGCTTTCAGTTTCGGTTTCAGTTTCAGTTTCGGTTTCAACCTCGTCTGCACTGAAGTCATATTCCTTAGGCTTGATGTTTAACCATTTCTTCATCATAAGTGAAGGCCAAAAGGCCTGCAACAAAAATGCAACTCAACGAGATCAATAACTCGATTGAAAACCATGTCCTCGATCTTGAGATTCATAAAAGTATATATTCAACAGCAGAAAAAAAAAAACAATTTGTTCATGAGAAAAGCATACCTCAGAGGGCTTTCCTCTTCTACTTTTCATGCTTGCCAGCTAAAAAACCTACCAATGACTACTTATATATACTTACTACAGACTTTGAAGGCAGAAGCACTTATGGAAGCAGCTTGCTTTCAAACGGAATCCAAGTGCCTCCTTTCCTATATATATTAATACTAATTATAAAAATACATAAAAAATATTTTCAAAACCATTAAAATGTAAAGTAGTTAACGAGTTTGTTTGTTTCTAGGCACAAAACAGGATTACTATCTTTCCAAATAAAAAAAAAAAAAAAAAAAAAAAAAACAGGATTACTATACTCAAAGGTCCTCCCACTCATCTTCTCTCACATCATACCTGTATTTTTTTTTCTTTCTGGTTCCTAAAACAGCAGAATATTTATATATAATATAAATATATATATATATATATATCGTATATATGTGTATATATACTGAAAAATCTTAAATCCCGAAAAAGATACCCACGAAAATGATGTCACTTTCATGATGACAAACTTGTAGTCATAAGAAGACCAACAAACATGCTGCAGCTATTATTTTCAGATTGTAAAATGGGAGGATAATACAAAACAGAAGAGTAAAGGATAGAAAAATAACAATAATACAAATTTTCATGACAAAAAACAATTCATTTAAAAATAAGAAGATGGTACCAAATGATAGAATAGTTTAGTTTATTACAATTGAATTAAATTAAGGTTTTTTTAGCAAAAATGGTCCCTGATATTTTCATAACACATAACTTTGATCCTTGAGATTTAAAATCAATAGAAGTTGTCTCTGAGATTGTCCATCATCCATTATTTTGATCATTCCGTTAAAAAACTCCGTTAAGTGGTCCCTGAGCTTTTTAATGGAATGACCAAAATGATGGATGGTGAACATTCTCAGTGACTAAGGTTATGTGTTATGCAAATCGCATGGACTAAAATTATGTGTTACGCAAAATCTTAGGGACCAAAGATATGTGTTATACCCTTAACTTAACAGATTTTTTAACGGAATGACCAAAATAATGGATGGTGGACAATCTCAGGGACCACTTCTATTGATTTTAAATCTCAGGGACCAAAGTTATGTGTTAAGCAAATCTCAGAGACCATTTTGACTAAAAAGCCTTAAATTAATATCGCTAATGTGCATAATTAAGGAGAAATTACACATAAAGTTAAGTTATATTGTGGAGAGACAATTTTTTTTTTTAATTTCATATAGGGACAAAACTTATCTATGTTGCAGGTGATGGCAGAGTTGTTTTGGTTGCCTTTGTATTTACAATTTTTTCCTATTATGTTTGAAACTCTTGAAAGATCTTGTATAATTGCTGGAATTTTGAAACTAATCTTGCAGAATTGTTTGAATTTTGAAAATGGTCTTGCAAGATTGCTAGAATTTTGAAACTAATCTTGAATAAGTGCAGGAAAATTTAAAACTCATCTTGCAAAAGTACAAAAGATTTTGAAACTAATTATGTACATGAATAGTGAAATTGATCTTGTAGAAGTTTGTGAAGCTGATGTTGCGAAAATTAGGTTTTAGGGATCTAAAATCAAATTTTGAAGTTTTTATAGATAGTGGGGTTTTGGACAACTCTAATGGGGGGCATGGCTGGAATTTCAAAATTTTGGTTTGCTTGTTTTTGGATTAGGTTTGTTGAAATTTGTTTCTCTCTTTAAAGTGATTCAAAACTAATGAAGTTCTATTTATATAATATATTTTGCCTTTATAGACAAAGCTCCTAATTACGAAATAGAAAATATGAAAATTCCAACATTTATTTATTTATTTATTTTTAAAAAGGGACCATCTGGTGGCTTTGTCACTCTAATCCACCCTTTCGGGGGTTGGAAAGACTCACAGAGGCATCAGCCTTGTTTGTACCATACTTAGGGCCTCCGTATTTAGACCTCGTATAAATACTCGGGGGACTTAAATGTAATTATGTAATAAATGAAGGGGCAAATATGTAATAAGTGAGGAGCCTTTATTCTATAATGGTGCGTTTGTTGCACCAAACTGTCTCGGACTGGACTAGCTTCAGGGACTAAGCTGGATTGGCTTAGACTAGACTAAGCTGGACTAGCTTAGTGAAGCGTTTGGTGTAGTGTCGGACTAAGAAGCAGGATAATGAAAACAATATTGTCACCAGTTTGGTGTTTGCTCAGACTAGAACTACATTACTGTTATATTTTAATTGCTTTTTTATTAAAGATATTATTGAAATTAACTAAATCCACTTTTCTCTACCTGCCCGATTCAAACAAAACCAAACAATTTCTCAGAATTAAAACATAATAATAAATTTCTCACAAAGCCACCCAATAAAAAAATAAAAAAATAAAATTAGGGAAAAAATTGTATTGTAATCCTTTTGTCCGTCGCCATCTGAGGTTCTGAAATGTGAGCCCAGAAATTGTATTGAGCCACAAATTGAAAGAGATAGTAAGTGATGCCAAAGACAATTCCTGGAGTATGCTCTCAATTCGCCCAGGCATCAGCAGTCAAAGTGAACCAAAACCCAACCACAAAATAAAAAAATCGACAAATGGAAAACCAATTTCGAGCAAAACATTGAACCAAATCAGCAAAAAAGGGAATCCATTTCCTAATTTCAGCAGTGAGAGAGAGAGCACTTGGCAGCGAGGTAATGAAATTGGAGGTCGCGGAGGACGATCTAGGAGGCATTGAGGAGGTGGGAGGCATTTGGGAGACATCAATATGGGCTGTGGATCGAGCTGACCGATTGGTGGGTGGTAAGTAATCGAATTTTGTGATTTATAGGGGTGGGTGGGGCAGTCAGTCCAAACAGATAAGGCAAGGGAGAGGCAGAGAGGAAAAATCATGCGGGAAAGGATTAAAAGCAGATGAAGCAGGATGCGGACGCAACAGACGGAGACGAAGCGAACCTGACGGGCTTACTTGTCCGACGCCTTTTGGAGGGTCTCACTAAGACCTCCTAGTGAGGGACTTAGTGAAAGCGAGTCCCCCTTTATCCCATTTAACTTAGTCCCTTGCTACACCAAACATGGGACTACACTGACTGTTAGTCCAGTGCAGTCCAGTGAGAGCAAACGATGGCAAACAAACGCCCCCTAAAAGGACTCCTTACTCTCCTCGTTAAGGGAGGTCAAGTTTAGGCCATGGGAAGAGAGAAAATAGGCTAGAGAGCACACTACCTCTAGCCTTCTTGTATATTCACCATTCAGAGTGAAACAATATCAACATCAGTGTGGACGTAGCCCAAACGTTGGGATGAACCACGATACATCTTGTGTTCTTTACTTTCTTGCAGATTCATGGTCGGATCTATGTTGTTTCAAGACCCTTCCGGTTTTGTACATCAACATTTGGCGCCGTTTATGGGAAACAACACTAAAAGCTATGTCGGTTCTCTTTCATTTTTTCATCTTACCACCGTGAAAACTTCACGATCTTCACCGTGAATCTGCAGAGAAATCAGAAATCCCAAGACACAAACCTTTTTCTCCCAACACAAACCTTTTTCTCTCAACACCAGTCCGATGGCCGAAAAATCAAACTCCGGAGACCCAATGCGACGGAACCCACAATCTAAGAAGTAAATTGTCTGAGCCATTCTCTTAGTATTCGCAATGTCATTGTACGACGTGGCGTTTGTGAACTCGCAGCTCTCGAAACCAATATCAATCTTCGGGCTCTGTCTCTAGGTCGACATTGGAATCCTTGTCAATTCTCTGATAGTCCTGATCCTTTTCCTCCTCTCCCTCTACCTCACCTCCTGTCATCGCTCCCGGGCCCATAAGGCCAAGCCCAAGCCCACCGCCGCCGACTTGCCCCTTACTCCAGTCAAATCGAAGGAAATCTAGGAAATCGTCAACGACCTCCATGTCGAGATTGGGAAGCCGGAGCACTGGGTGGTGGTGTATTCAGACCAGGCGATGAGCGGGGAGAGCAGAGAGGGACATTGAATAGCAGGTGCAAGACGACGTCGTTTGGGAGCGGGAATGTGGTAGGGCCGGAGCTGTCACATCTGGGTTGGGGGAGATGGTACACTTTGAAGGAGCTTGAGGCGACGACAAATGGGTTGTGTGAGGAGAAAGTGATTAGGGAAGAAGGGTATGAGATTGTTTACAGTGGGATTCTCAGTGACGGGACTAAAGTTGCTGTCAAGAACTTGTTGAATAACAGGTACTTTGTTTTTAACCGGTCATGCCCATTAGCTCCACCTTGCTGGTAATTATGATGAAAAAACTTTTGAGAAACATGGTTTGAGTGGTAAGGGTTCAATGAAACCATTCCTCATCAGTTGGGAAATCTCTCGAGTCTACAATATCTCGACCTTTCTGCCAACATTGGTTCGGTTGTCGAGAATCTCAAATGGCTCTCTGGTTTTTCTCTGTTGAAACATCTTAACATGAGTGATGTAGATCTTACCGATGCATCTCATTGGTTACAAGTAAACACACTCCCTTCTCTGCTGATAGAGTTACATTTTTCTTACTGCAAACTCGCCACCACCAATCCGCGTTCGAGTCCAGAGTGAACCAAAATCTGAACCAGTACCGGTTCATCGACGAAAACAATTTCCAGCAGAAGCAACCGCCGCAACAGAATGTGCAGAGCCATAATTTTTCCGATAGGTCCGAAGAGTCCCCGACGACTTCGTCTCAGGACAAGTGGCTTTTGATTGCCTGCGTTCTGCTCCGCCTCTTGCAAATCGAAGAGAACAAAGTCGCTGTCCGCCGGCGCTCGGTGCCTCGCTACAGAGGCCTCTCGGTGGTTGAATTCACCCCATAATTGATCCGTGGTGTGGGCCTTGTCGTATGATCCACCCCATAATTGATGAACTGGCAAAGCAACATGCTGTAAACCTACAATGCAGCAGAACATGAAAAAGAAAGAGAAAAGAAGAAGCAAAAGCAGAAAGCAAAAGTATAAAAAAGGGAAGAAGATAAAAAGAAGGAAAAAACAAACATAATTGCGGTGGTGATGGCATGATTGCAGAGAAGGGAATTATGGGCGTGACCCATTGAGCAGACCCTGCCCCCCGCAACTGCCAGCTGCACATGCTATCCCACTATCCAACCATCTGCTATACCCACCTTCTGCAACAGTTTTTTTTTTTTTTGGTGCTAGAAGGAATGATGTGATTTACTTTTCTTATCTTTTGGAGACATCTGTATAACCCCACCAGAGGGTAATCGTAAATAA